GTAGTCGAGGCGGAGGGCCCCCCCGGCCTCCCCCTGCAGCGAGTCCACCGCGCTCAGCCGCCCGCCCGGGCCGGCCCCCGCCCCAGCCCCAGCCCCGTCCGCTACCGTCGCCGCCATCGCCGCGGACCCCCGAGCCCCGGAGCCCGGGCCCGCTCAGCGCCGGCCGGGGACGCTCTAGCCCAACACCCGCCGCTCTCTGTGGTGCTACGTCATGTGACCGGAAGTGCCTCGCTCTCCGCCCCCGCTGGTGGTTGTGCTTTAACGCCCCCCGGGACTATCTAGGCCCCGGCTCTCTATGGTTTTCAGGCCGCCCGTTGCGCTGTCGCGACAGGCGGGCACCGCGGGCGGCGACTTTCTAGCTTCGCGTTGCCAGGCTCGATAGTCTCCCCGGAACTGTTGGGCGGAAGCGCCGGGTTGCCATGGGAACGGCGGCACTCTGCTCTCACACACGGGCGGCTCTATGGTTCTCACTCCCGGAAGTCGGGAAGAGCCTCCGCCGTGGGCCCGACCCCTTCCCCGGAAAAGCGCGACCAGCTGCCCCCAGTCTCTATGGGGGCAACACCGGAAATGGAGCTAGGGCACGCGGGGACGATCTGCGCTCAGCCCTCCAGCCTCTCTATGGTCACAACCGCCCCACCTCCCCCGCTGAGCAACTCCGGGAAGCAACGATCCCTTCCCAGAAGTGCTGCCGACGCTCTGTCCCCTACTCTCGATCGCTTCCGCTAGGAGGCGAGGGCGCTCTAGCCGCCTCTCAGTGCCTGGGAGGTCGGGGGCGGGCACCCGAAGGGGCGGGAAAGAGAGGGGGAGTCTTTATCAGAGGGGCGGGGCCTGCGCAAAGGGGCGGGGCTCCAAAGCTCGGATCTTGCTTCCGTGAATGAAGGGGCGGGGCCAGCACACGGGGCGGGGCTGAGAGGGGCATCACTGCGGTGGGGGCGGAAAAGGCAGCGGCAGAAGCAGAGCTTGCTCCGGCTGCAGTCCTTCTTCTTCTTCCTCCTCTTCGTCCAGACGCGACATGTCTGAGGCATAGTCTTTCCTCTTGATTTATTCCGAGCAAAGGGACATGCGAGGAGATGATAGCAACATCATTCAAACGATGATTTAATCACAGACCGAGCACTGACATATCGGCATCGAGCTGCTATCAGCCAAAAAAGTTCTCCAGCTCCTTTTGCCCGTGCCTTGCGCTGGGAGTGGTCATCCCAGGTTCCCCGTGCGGTGTTTCACTCCGGAAGCGACACCCAAAAACTTTCCTGCCGTCAATTTCTCCGGGATTAATAGCCCACCGATTTGGAAACACGTCGCACTTCTTCAGCTGTGTTTTACGAGCTCAGCGCACGGCAGCCCGGCTAGCTCAGTCGGTAGAGCATGAGACTCTTAATCTCAGGGTCGTGGGTTCGAGCCCCACGTTGGGCGGATGCCTTTTTTTTTGTTGGTTTTTTTTAAGTTTAAAACATTTCTTCCTTTATGTTCAGGATGTCGTATGAATTTCTGCCCCTGCAGCAACTGCAAGCTGCGTTGGTTTGGGTAATGGAAGAAATCGTAAGGAGAGATTGTGGAGAAGGCACTTCCTACACAGAGCGATTCATAAAACCAAATTAAATTCCCATTTTGTTCTTTTTCCAACCTCAGCTAGGATAGCCAAACAGCCCAATGGCCAGTCATCTTTTGCTGCCTCCAGAATGAGGTGCACTCAGAAAGATTTCTTCGGAGACATCACAAATCCCTGGTGGAGGATCTGAGTGACAATGCACAGCTCTGTCACCAAGTTAGTATAATGTTTCATGCCCAGCAAGATGGGGAAAAGGAGACGTGTCCAGGTGACAAACCGCATTCCCTTTTGCAGACAAGGGTCTTTAGGTAAAGGTGATATTTTTTTGATTTCCCACCTCTGAAAATACTGCTTATTTCACTTAACCGCAGCCTTTACCAAACAGGTGATCTGGTCCAGAAGGATCTTGAGGGTGGGATAGGGTGCAAGGTTTTGTGGCTTTATGCTGAAAGTAATTGAATATCAGTTTTCAAACCCAGGTGGTTTGGGGCTGTATTTTGAGGTTGTTTGGTTTTTTTTTGGGGGGGGGGGGGTTGTTTTTCTTTTTGCCTTGTACTTATTTCTTCTTTTCCAGTGAATTTGCATTTAAGATATCTGGAAGCCTACCTGGGGTGGGGGGTCACAAGACCTGGCTGTCCAAAGGACAAGCTATATTCCCAGGTGTGGTAGGATATCCAGGCTATATTCCCAGGTGTGGTAGGATATCCAGGCTGTCAAAAGGACACGCCACATCCAGATGCGGACCCGATGGATCAGGCTGTGGCCACTTCAACGAGAAGTCCGAGCAGCTGGTTTCTGTAGTGTAGTGGTTATCACGTTCGCCTCACACGCGAAAGGTCCCCGGTTCGAAACCGGGCAGAAACAAAGCGCTTTCTTTAAACTCTTGGATGATGTCTTATTCTTGGAGATGCTGTGTTGAATGTGTCATAGGGGAATGGATGCAGATTGAGAATCCAGGTGAAGAAGACCTCACTCTCAGTATCCACACTGTGTTAAAAGGAGCTGTTGATCTTTTTTCTCTTGTCTGTGTGTTCTTCCCTTCCTCTACAGCAGTAGTAACTGGCTACAGATATAGATGTGTGTGAGGGAGAGAAGGGTGAGGAAGTGATGGCACTAATCACAGGACATACAAACTGCACCTCTGACTCACTGCCACATACTTTCTCCCCACCCATGGCCACCCCCCACATCGGGTGGGGAAAGATCCTGCTTTTTTATCTTCCCTTTCACTGCAGAGTTGGGCCTGATCCTCTTCCCAAGTTCAGCTGAGCATGTTCCCGTCAAACTAATTCCCTACTAGTGCAGTGGGAACGCATTGATGACCCCCTTGCTTGACCTGCTCTTCACCTGGGGGCACATTGTAGGCACTCACCGTGGAGCATTTATGGCTGTGGCCTCAGAAAGGTCTCACAGCTTGTACTTGCAGCTTCCCTGGGGAAGTGGCTGTCAAACACAGTGGATTAGGTGGGGTGGCTGCGGAGGCCCCTTCCAGGCTTGTTATTTCAAATCTGCCCTCTGCAGATCCTTTCCCAGCTGTGTCTGGGTTTTGATGACTGTTGCTACCTGTTTTATATCATTCAGTGTCCAGGTTTTTACACTCAAGGAAAGATCTGTAAAAGCTGGAAAAAATCAGTATCTGCTCCTGCACAGTGCCCAGCGTAGGCCATTTGTCTGGGTTCTGAGGAGATTTTCTTCACATCGCCGGTGTCCCAAGTAGGTGTGTAACTAAGCCACATGGATCCTAAGGCAATCCCGCATCTGGTATGCTTTGTGTCCTCAATCGGCTACTCTGCTACTCGTCGAAGTAGCATTTAAACAGAAGCCTTTGCTTTTACTCCTTGAAGAACTTCAGGCGTGCCCAGGTCTCAGCCCTACCATACCTCTACTGTCAGAGGCTGTAGCTGGTTTCTGTAGAATAGTGGTTGTCGCGTTCGGTTCAAAACTGGGCAGAAACAAAGCCAAATCTTTAAGCTCTTGGCTAGTGGGTTGAGCATGGTTTTGGGGGATTCAAGATTCAAGATTTAGGATCTCAAAGTCAACCTCTATGTATACAGTGCGTTTTGCCTGGCTGTTGACTTTTGCTTGTGGGGTTTTTTGGGGTTTTTTTTTGTCTGTCCCTTACTATAAAGCACTGGACACTGAGTACAGACTGGGAGCCCTACTCCCCGTACTTAAGCACAAGTGCAAGTGTGGCTCACACCTTCATGACAAAAACCACTGCCATGCTTGAAGTCAGAAAGGTCTCCTTCCCCACCCCTGTCAAATGGGCAAGGACCCTGTGTTTTTCTCCTTTCTTTTTTCCCTGCAGAATTGGATCTGATCCTTCTGCTAAGATCATCTGACCATGTTACCATCCAGCAAATTCCCTAGGGTGTAGTAGCAAAGCAGTGAGGACCCCTTTGCCTCCCCTGCTCTTTACCTATGGCACCTTGTAGGAGCTTTTCACAGCACATTTATGGCTATGGCTTTGGAGAGATCCCAATGTGCTTGTGACCTCTCTGGTCAAGCCTCAAACAGTGAATTGTGCTAGATGGCTGGGAAGGCTCCTTCCAGGCTTGTCCCAAACCTGGTCTTACCATGAACTTTCCCAGCTTCCCTGGCCTTTGACCCCTCTACTATTGTTGCTAGTTATTCAGTTCTCAGGTCCTTACACCTGAGGAGAGAGAAGTAAAAGCAGGAAAGCATCGGTACATGCTTGTACAGTGCCCAGTATAAACCATTTGTCTGGACTCTGTGATTTTTTTCCCTGTGTCCCAGGTTCTTGTGTAATGACACTGTGGATTCTAAGGCAATCCTGCATTTTCAGGCCGGTTTTGTGAGTAAAGGCTGAACTTGGATGCATTCACAGAAGGGCAGCCTCTCAGGTCAGTCCATTCTTTCACCTGAATTCCTTCTGCACCTTCACACTTCCATGTTTCCATTCCTCTCTCTGTGATTGTTTCACGGTTTGTGTCCCTGTGTTTTTTCCAGACCTGGGAGGGTTTAAAGCTTCCTGACCCTTGCATTTTTCCAGTCATAGGCATTTTCCATTCCACTCTTCCTAGATCAGCCCTGTCCCATGGTCTTTTGTTTCCAGTTGTGCTGGCCCCTTGCATGTGAATGAAGAGGGAGACCGACTGGTAGGTGTAGTCCAGGGGTCAGCAACATTTTTGGGCAGGCAGAGTACCAAAAACATCTGCAAACTAGACTTGTAAGATGTTGGTGTTCCTGGTGCAGATGGCAGGGGAGCCATGCGTGGCCCAATCGTTGTGGAGGCGCAGCCCCAGCCCCTTCCCCAAGGTCTGTGTGCCAAGCAGAATGTCTTGAAGTGCCATGCTGTGGCACCTGTGCCAGGGGTTCATAGATTTATAGACATTAGGGGCTGGAAGGGACCTCATGAGATCATCGAGTCCAGCCCCCTATCATAGGCAGGAAGTCTGTTGCAGCCAAATGACCCCTGCAAGATAAGCATCCAAACACCATATGAATGAGTCCAGAGGAGGTGCTTGCACCACCTCTTGTTGTGGAATCTGTTCCAGACCCTGGACACTCAGATCGTAAAGAAGTTTGTCTTTATGTCCTGTCTAAATCGGCTTTCCAGGAGTTTGTGACCATTAACCTTTTTATTCCTTGGAGAGCTCTGGTGAACAACTGTTCTCCCAGATCCTAGTGCACTTCTCTTACAGGCTGCCACCCTGAGCCTTCTCTTTTGCAGGCTGAAAAGTCCCATTTCCCTCAGCCTCTCCTTGTAAGGTTTGCTCACTTGGTCTTTGATCATGTGGGTGGCTCTCCTCTGGACTCTAGTAGGGTTGGCTACCCCTGGTGTAGTCTCTGCAGTGTTAAGCTGGGGCGTTTGCTTTTACTTCCTCAATAGCTTCTGGCTTGCTCAATCCTCGTGATTGCAGTGACATTTTTTTGCCACCGTCACAGGCTGTGGCCGCTCCACTGAGCACCAGAGGCAGCTGGTTTCTGTAGTGTAGTGGTTATCACGTTCGCCTCACACGCGAAAGGTCCCCGGTTCGAAACCGGGCAGAAACAAGGTTTTTCCTTTTAGGGTCTTGGTTGCTATGTTATGATGGGAGAAGAAAAGCCTCTTCTTGCACTAGTTACTTGAGTGCATCACAGGGGGGATCCTCCTGAGAGGGGAATCAACCTCTATGTCCAGAGTGAGTGCTGTCCTGCTGTTCACTTTTGTTCCTCCCTTGCTGTGAAGCAGTGAATTTGCCTACAGATGGGGTATGGGACACACACACACACCACCATATACATACATCTCTCAGTACTTACAAACTGCAGATCTGGGTTGCACCCCCATGCTCCAAACCATTGCCATGCTTCTGCTTTTATTGTTTAAAAAAACTTCAGCCCTAGTGTGTTCCTATCCTTACCAACCGCTTCCTTTTTTTTTAACTGGCCAAGGCTGTCTACCCTTCCACGAAGCGCGTAACCAGCTGGTTTCTGTAGTGTAGTGGTTATCACGTTCGCCTCACACGCGAAAGGTCCCCGGTTCGAAACCGGGCAGAAACAGCCCCTTTTCTTCTTTCTTTTCTTTTTCTTTTTTTGTTCTTATTTTTCTTTTTTCTTTTCTTCTTTTCTTTATCTATTTATTGTGCAACACTAAATGCTAGTAATTAGTTCATACTTCTATTTTAGGACCCAGGTGGCTAAAGCCTTACTGCCTTGCCACTTCTCCATTTCTTGCCCAAAGCTTCTTTGCTGGGAGTTTAGCAGCTCGTCAAGCCGAGGGGGGGGTCTAAACGGAACCAATCATCAGGCAGATTTATTTATTTTTTTAAAATAAAGTCATTTCAAACTCGCAGGGTATGGTTTCGCATGGGTCTTAAAGCCATAAAGCGAATAAAGCTGCTTTTAGACAGCGACCTACTGATTTCATAGGCCTGCAGTGTGCCAGATTTAGTCGGGGAAAGGGTTTCCTCCTCCTCCTCGCTCAGAGGAAGCAAGGTCTCTCCCCGCTGGGGGCCAGCCCTCTCCCTGGGCTCAGCGGGTGCTGCAGCAAGACAGGCTTTCGGATCTATGCCTCCAGCCAGCTCTTTGCATAAGGAATGATTGAAGTCCTCCCAGCACAGACTTTTCCATTCTTTCTCCCCTCCCCGATCCAGATCCATGAGGTCCTACCCTGGGATCTACCTTTTTGCACTTTAGTGTTCCCTACTTTGGGATATACACCAGGCTCCTGAGCCATTCCTTCCACCCACGGGTTTTGGGGCCAGGGATGTCCTTTGCAATCAGCTCCACACACGTGCGAGCACTTGCACTCGCATGGGAGTGTGAAACAAGCCCCCCCTTGCTTCCCGGATCACTGCACTTCTGCATTTTTACCGTGCCCCTGCTTCTTTTGCTGCTTGGATTTACCTTGATTTCTTGGCTGCTTGTCAGACACCCCAGAGGCAAACTGCATCTGGAAGGAGCTGGATGAGGTCCCCCTGGGACTCTTCCCCTGGAGAGGGGCCCTGGAAGATAGTCCCTCCATCCGATCGGCTGCATGATGATCAGGGATCCTGGTTTTCTCTAATAAAAAAAAAAAAATCCCCAATTTTCGGGTTAAAAAATTAACCCCAAACCCACCTTCTTCCGTGATCAAAAAAAATAAAATAAAATTGGGGATTTTTTTAAATCGGAGAAAAACTAGGATTTCTACTGAAACACGTAGACTCCGGTTGATATATAGACTCCAGCTTACAACAAACTATACTGTACATGCAAAAGCAGGTATTCTCATTCATGTATACACCCTGCCTGCTCTGCTACTGATTAACTCTCCAAGCACCTCAGCAGCAGCCCGGCTAGCTCAGTCGGTAGAGCATGAGACTCTTAATCTCAGAGTCGTGGGTTCGAGCCCCACGTTGGGCGCATGTGACTTTTTTTTCCTATGGCTGGATGAATTATATAAAGGTTTTTAACTGTATAGTTTTTTTCCCGATTGACTTATTGATTATATATATTGAGCAAATTATTATTTTTTTTGTTTTTTGTTTAAATTTATAGCTGTGTCCCAGCTGCCTGGAGGGGAAGGGAGACAGAAGGAATTCCCTCCTGGGTTTCTCATTTAAGTGCCAGGACAGGTGGCTGCTTGGAAGGATTAAGTACAGCCCTTTCTGTGACCCCACTTCGCTTGCTTTTCTCTATCGCTTTATGTCCTCATAAAGCTTTTGAATTTATAGCTTTTTTTCCAATTGATTGACAGATTGATTTACATATATTGAGCAAATGATCCTGTTTTTTGAATTTATAGCTGTGTCCCTGATGCCTGGAGGGGAAGAGAGACAAAGGAGGAATTCCTTCCTGGGTTTCCAGCATCAGAGAAAGTGTCAGGACATGGATGGATCTGGGTGGCTGCTTGCAGTGGTGACGCGTAGGGGGTGTACGGTGGTGCACATGCACCCCGAGAGCACTGGTGCACCCCCTGACAGGCCATGCTCCCCACTTAGGTGACGGTCGGTGGGGGCTGGCCGGAGAGCAGGAGCGCCAGATGGAGTGCCACAGCTACTTCCTGGTCAGCGCAATTGGCCCCCGATCGCTGACTGGTCGCTGGGGGGGGGCACGTGCCCCCGCCCCCGACTAAGGTGGCACCAGTCACCCATGGCTGCTTGTAAGGACCAACTGACCCTGTTTTTCTCTATCATTTGTCCCAGCCGCCTCATTCCCCATGGCTGCCTGCCCCGCCCCCCTTACTCTGCACACCATCCCCTTCTCGGCTATTGCAGAAGCAAGGGGAGGACTCAAGCACCTCCTCTATTTCACAAAGTGCATTTCAGGCTCAGGGGGCCCATCTACACATTCATTAATGCACCTTAGATATTGCACATTTTGCTTATTAGTTCCTAAATAAAGCACTAACTAAATGCACACTACCTAAAGTTCCTGTGCAGTAGCGCTGGCTTGCTGTTATTTAGTGAGTAGAAGATTGCTCCTTCTCTCCTTCTGAGTCTATGCCATGGTAGAACAAGGAATTCAAGATTCATTTGACCAAAGACAAAGTCAAAGAGGGAGCCTGGTTCTGCAGCCTCATGTTTAGGACATTTCCCTGGGCGGGAGAAAAGCTGGGTTCTGGTCATTGCTCAAGACCGCTTATTGCTTTACCAGTGACTAGGGGTACACCGATAGAGATTTTGGGGGCCGATACTGATAGCCAATTTTTAAGGAGGCATAGTGGTCGATACTGATCCAATTTCCAATACAGCTGCATGCAGCCTGGTAAGTCTATTGTGGTTGAAGGGGAGGGAGGAAGGAAGATGTGTGTGGGGCTGGGGGGGCAGATCAAGGCCCCTGCAGTGAAGGAAGGAGTGGGGTAGGGCCCGGGGCAGGTGCTGCCCAGCTGGGGTGGACCAGGGAATGAGACAGAACCACAGCCCATCTGGAGGGCGTGGGGAGGGGAGAGGTGGGTCCCACTGCTGCACACACCCTGGGAGGGCATGGGGCACAGGTGTGGTGGGGCACAGGCAGAGCAGGCTCTAGCTGCAGGTGCAGTCTAGGGCCAGGCTGCACAGGGCTTTTCCCAGGATGGGTGAGGGGGTGGTGAGTTGGGATGGGGCTGTGCTCAGGTCAGGTGGTGGCAGCACTGGGAGGGGTGCTATGGCAAAATTTGGGGTGGCTGCAGTCCTCCCCATAGCCCCTTCCCAGCACTGCTGCCTCCTGCTCTGAATGCAGCCCTGGCTCAACCCCCACCCCAATCACACACCAGGAAGAGTTCAGCGCAGCCCTGACCCACAGCTGTAGCCCACCCTACACAGATCTGGGCGCATATGCACCCCCTGTACCTTCCCAGGGTGCACACAGTGGTGGGAGCCGCCCCCCACCCTCCTGGACGAGCCATGGCTCCATCCTGCACCCCTCCCTGCCCTGGCTGGGCAGCACCTGCCCCAGCCCCTGCCCGATTCCCTCCCTCACCATGGGGGGCGTTGATCTGCACCCCCATGACCCTTGCCACCCCCCTCTCCACTTCCACAACAGACTTACCAGCTGCACACAGCTCTCCAAGCTGCCGGGCTGTGCTCCTCATGGCCTGCGTGATGCACTGTGGCTGTGCGCATGCACAGGCATTTATCAGCCAAGTTATCGGCCACATCAGGCTGATTTCCGATAGTCAATTTTCTTTATATCAGTGCTGATCTGATATTGGACCCATGTATTGGTGCACCTCTACCTGGTGGCGATGTGTAGAGGGTGCATGTGCACCCCCTGAGAGCGCTGGTTCACCCCCTGACAGCAGCGTTGCCCAGTTAGGCAATGGGCAGGCAGGGCAGGAGAGAGCACTGGTACCCTCTCCCCACAACCGAGAGCACCGGCCGGGGCATGAGGGTGCCAATAGAAGCAATCCCCACAGTCCCCCTGAGGCTGATCACTGACTGGCCGGCAGGGGGGTTCCCCCCACCGTGGCCAATCACACCAGCCCAGAAGTGCCAGCTGGCACGTGGCCCCCCTGACTCAGCAGGCACCTGTCGCCCATGCCTCTACCAGTGACTGTTTCAGATACATTAATTTTTCCAGCAGTGAAACCTAATGCAGCTGGGCTCTTTGTTTCCTATTAGTGGCTAGACCAAACCAAGTGGTTTGTGTTGCTGCACCATTTTCCAACTTCTCCTAGCACCCATAGTCTCTTTATTCATGTTGCTGTGATCTTCTTTGGCACGAGTGGGTGGGGAATGGAGCTCACTGCATGTTTATACCCATTTCCTTACAGAGCACTCTGCTTGGTGCTGTCTACAACACTGGACAGCTGATAGGGTACTTGTTTTCTTTCAGGCTGAGAAGTGAGGCATTACCATGGACAAGATAATCTGGTGCTGAGTCACTATGTAGCTCGAAATTAAAAGAATAACATCTGGCAAGGAGGCAAACCACTGGCACAAAACAAAACGCATCAATCCCCTTCCTCTGCCTAATCCAGAAGGTTTAAAAAGAACATCTGTGTATCTTTCTACTACATTTTAAGTGCCTACAAAACAGAAATACAGTGCTGAACTTCACCAGGCACTGGTGAATAATTAATGATGTCAGACATTCATAGAAATCCAAGATGGCATCTCATGCAGCTCTCCCATCTCCTTCTAGTGGGTAGGAAACCATACTGAAGTTGAAGTCCACTATACTTTTGAACTAATAGAGATGGTCTCCTCAAAAAATGTATTATGACACTTAAAGAGAGCTTTAATCAAGAGTTAAGCAACTGTTAGAATCTGGTCAAGTCATCAGATTGCCTCAAATCATCGATATTGACTTCTTTCAATGTTCTCATAAACCTTTCCACACCATCTGTTTCTAATGTGCTTGTGATCTCCTATCATACACGATCCATATTACAAGCGTGATCAGTATAACCACCATTACTAATGTATAATCCTTTTATAAATCATTTATAAAAATAACTTTAATATCAAACTTGACCCCTATTCTGTTAGGTAAGATTGACTTCTGCTTTTAGGTCAGGGAGTATCAAAATCAATTGCTGTACAGGGTACGAGTAGCAGTGTTACATGTGGACAAAAAACAGAATTTGTTTAAATCTAGTGAAGGTTCTAGGCCTGGGGCATCTGACTGCCTAATCTCTATCCAAAAGCAGACATACCTAATGCTTTGAGCTAATGGGCAGATCCATCAGCCAAAATCTGCCCAAAACTAGTTTCTTTTAGACCAGGTTTGAAAATGGAAAATTTGTTACTCTCTTTTCAGGATACCATCATATCACCTACTCTGACCCCCCTCTATAACATAGGTCAGAGTGTGTGCTTACTGCACAGCTGACTCGTTAAACACGCAGTAACCATGTTAGTGTCTGCACATGTGCCCCTATTAGGGTGCAAGAAACTAATAAACTCTGCAGCAAGATAGTACTTGTAAATACTACTTTGCTGCGGATTTTTTTCATGCACAGCAGCACACGTGTAGACGCTGAGTCAGCAGGCTGGAACATAAGGGTGCTTCAGTGCAGGGGCTGCCTGCTGGCTAGCCCCATGCTGAAGCACCCTTATGCCCCAGCCAGCCCCTCTGCAGCACAGAGCCCAGTCAGAGTAGCCCTGGGCTTGCAGGCTGACCCCCAGGTTCCCTAACAGCTGGGGCTGCTGTGACCCAGCTCACTGTGCTGCAGTCTGGGCGTGCATATACACTGTGCAAATGGGAGCAATACTCCACAGTTTATTAATGCACGTTAATGGCATGTGTAGATTCATCCAGTCACTCAGCTCCAACAGTACTAAGATTCCTTTGAAAATGCTCCTATTGGGAAGTTACAAGGTTTTATATATATATACACACACACACACACACGTTAGGAAAGAAAAGCAAGGAAGCCTGGGAGAAAATAATTATCTCAAGTTTTCTGACACTTCCACCAACTTTTTCCAGCTGGAAAGAAAAGTCATAGTGGGTTTCTTTCTGGCTGGGGTCATATGACACTAGCGCTCTTTCCTGCCCAGGGTAGGGGGTCTGACTCGATGATCGGTTGAGGTCCCTTCTGAACCTAGCATTTATGAATCTATGGACCATCAATGCAAAGAGGACAAAAAAGCCTCCAAACTCCTGGTGCAATAATGTATTCTTAGATACATACAGGGCTTCCACTACCATAGTGTCTGAGCATATCAGTCTTTAACACATTTATTTCCACATAACTCTTGTGAAATAGGGAGTGCTTTATCCCTATTGTATAGATACAAAAATGAGGTACAGGAAGCCAGATTTTTTTTAAGCCGGTATTTAGGTGCTTAAACGTGCAGGTAGCTGCTGCCTCAATGGCCAAGCCTTTTTGTGGATCCAGCCCCAAATGCTACTTTAAGATCCTAAGTTCAAAATTTCGATCCCCACACCACTGTTCCCAAAGGCTGAAGGTGCCATTCCACCAGTAAATGTTTTCACCAGTTAAAACTCCCATTCATCTTAAGTTCTACTGCTGGGTAGGCCATGAACTGCCTCAGCTTTGACTGCACTGAGCAGCTGGGCATGTAGCTCAGAGCTCAGCTATCCTCCGTTTCCCAAATTAGGTGCTCCTTTGCTTTTCTCACTTGGTGGGGGGAGAAGGGTGGTTGGGGCTGAGCCTGATTCAATTAGCCTGTTCAGAGCACATTTACTGATGGGTCCCAAATAGAAATCATGACACTGACTCCCTTTTACCAAAGAGCCTGGTGTTTATAGCGCTGAAATGGGTCATGCAGGTTCAAATCCTTCCTTGACCTGAAGGGATGTTTTAAACCTACATCTACCACCTCTGCAGAAAAGTGCCCTAACCACCAGGTCCCTGGACATTCTGGAACAGGAGTCTGCCATTTCCTTCTGCGGCAACAATTCAACTCTGCATAAACTACTTAAAAATATGCTGTTGCACAGGGACTGGTACCCAGACCCAGGGTTGGAATTACACTTTGACTCCTGGGGGTCTGCAAAAAGCAACTGGGCTTCCCATCACGATGTCCTATAAAATCAGAGGCCCTTCCAGGTTATTAATTTCAAATCTTACAGGGGGGCTTTAGTCTCTTATGGGGGGCTCAGTCCTTCTCCCTCCCCAAGTTCCCCCACAATTCAAACCCTGCCCAGACCACTTTCTAGGTGACTTGCCTTAATCACTAGGTTAGAGACATGGTAATACCTGGCCCAACAATTTTTTTTCCCCATATGAAATAGAAGAGTTTTAGCATAAAGGACCAAGACAATTCCACCCTAATATGTCCAGCAGCCTGATAGTTAGGGTGCTGTCCAGGAAGGTGGAAGAGGAAGATTCAAGTCTCCCAAGCCAGTTCTCCAACTGCTGGGCTATTGGCTAAAGGGAGCTATTGCTGCCTCCACTACCACCATCACTATCTTCTCCTTTTCGTGAGAAAGGTGCTTATCCCCTTTCTAATTCATGGAGAGTTAGGAAGGGGATGGCTGTGAACCCCAAGTGGAGAAATGCCTCCCTGCATCCTAACTCTTTGATGGGCAGGGTTTACGACTGCTCCCCCCACCCTCCAAGACTGTCAATGATCCAGCTTCAGCAGCACCCTTCTCAGTTGCCTGGCGGCTATGGATACCCTTCTCAGCGCCCTCTCAGCACATTGTGCAGCCCCTATGTGAGGGCTGCTGGGTCAGTTAAGCAGCTGTGCTCCTAACATTTAGGCTAGAAACAGATCTAGGGATTTCTCCGGGGACAAAGCCTTTTCTTATGGGATCCTGTAGAGTACAAGCCCATTGTCCTGCTTCAAACCCTACACAGTACCCGAGATAACAATTTTTCCTTGGACAATTGTGGCTAATTCAGTTAACTGTGATTCAAGCTGTGTGTGTAAATGATTGTCCCACATTTTGATGCAAGTCAAAGCCCAGGGCAGTGGAAACCAGTCTGCAGGGAGCTTTTTAGAAATGTGTCAGTGCTCCTGTTTTGTAGCTCTGAAGTACCACAGCTCCTAGCGTGCACACAGGCTGTACTAGCAGAGGGAGCTCTTCCACTGCCAGAACAACACTGACTCAGACTACCAGAGGTTGTATGTCTGAGATGGGCCCACATGACAGGGATTCAGCAGCACTGGCTAAGGCAAATCATCTTTTTACAGCCCTGGTTGACATGGCTCCATTGGTAGAACTTCATAATGTAGCCTAAATCCAAATGGATTAGGTCAGAGGTCAGTAACCTACACCCTGGGCTTGATCCAGCCCACAAGGATGCTGATCCTGACCCAGAGGTCTTACCCAGCCCAGGGCATGAGGTGGCACAACTGCACTGAGCCATCCACAGCAATCCTTGCTGCTCTCCCTTGCCTGTGTTTTTCTCACTGCAGAGGGCCCGGGTATCTGTAGAGAAGGTAAATGCAGACAGCCTGAGCTCTTATGGGAGTGGGGGCAGAGCCCTGTGCTGTGCAGCAAGGAGCCAGGTCACATGTTCTGCCCTGCGTAGCAAGAGGCAGCTGCCACCCGGATTAGCCGAGGGCTTAACTCCTGCTGATTTCAGCCTTCAAACACCAAAACACCTTTGGAAATCCTGCCTGGAGTGACCTGCCAAAGGTCAGAGAGAGAAACTCTCAGGCAGAAGAGGGAACTCAACTGAGGTCTTTCTCCTGCTAGGCCCTCCCTCACCCCTGGGCCACACTCCCTCCCATTGTTGCAGTGAGTGCTAGGCCTTCCTACTAGCTCCAGGACCTTATGCTGTGTGGGTCACTTGATGGGCAATGAGGTGGGAGCTGGTGCTGAAGCCCTTGCCACAGTGGGTGCACTTGTAGGGCTTCTCAGGCAGGTGGGAGCGCTGGTGGACCACCAGGTGCGAGCTCTGGGAGAAGCGGCGCCCACACTCTGGGCACCCATAGGGCTTCTCCCCGGTGTGTGTTCGCCCATGCTTCACCAGGTCTGAACGCCGGGCAAAGCTCCGGGGGCAGTGGGTGCACTTATGTGGCCGGTCAGTGGCATGGCCACTCTGGTGGGCCAGCAGAGCCGCCCGTGTCCCAAAGCCACCCCCACAGTCAGGGCAGGCGTGGGACTTCCCTTCAGCATGGACACGCTGGTGGGTGAGCAAGTTGGAGCGCTGGCTGAAGCTGCGCCCACACTCAGGGCAGACGTAGGGTCTCTCCCCAGTGTGGACACGTCGGTGGGCAGCCAGGTTGGAGCTCTGGGCAAAGCCCTTTCCGCAGTGGGGGCACACGTAAGGCTTCTCCCCTGTGTGGACACGTTGGTGCTTGACAAGCACAGAGCTGTCACGGAAGCCACGGCCACAGTCAGAGCAGTGGTAAGCACGCTCGCCTGTGTGGGTGCGGCGGTGCACCACCAGGGCCGAGCTGGTGTTAAAGTTGCACTGGCAGACAACGCAGGTGTACGGCCTCTCCCCCGTGTGCACACGCTGGTGCTTTATCAGGTTTGAGCTCTGGCTGAAGCTCTTCCCGCAGTCTGAGCACCGGAATGGCTTCTCCAGCACCCGGCAGTGTGAAAGGGCTGGGCCCAAGCAGGGGCTTTCCTGGCAGGTGGCACTAGGGTGTCTGTGCTCCGCATGCCAGGCAGCAGGCTCTGGGCTGTGTCCTGTGTCTGTATCCAAGTGAGTCCACAGTTGTGATCCCCTACTGGACCTTTGCTCGGGGTCAGCACTCCTATCTCCCCGGTGGTGACTTAAATGGACCTCCAGTGAGGAGTTAGGGGGTGCCGGGCTTGGGCTTAGCCTTTGTCCAGCATTGCGGCAGGGATGGGACCCATCCCTTCTGTTTGCTGTCCACTGTGTGGTGGGGTCACAGCAAGGTGAGGCAGGCCTGGCACTTGCCTTTACCCTTGTGCTATTAGCACCAGGATGGGGTTTCACCTCTAGATGGGTATTAAGCTTTGGCTGGGCACTGAAACCTTCCTCACAGTCTTTGCCAGAATGGCATCTTTCCACCCGAGGGGCTGCCCCATCATCCACTGCAGTGAGGCTCTGACCCTCCCTGCTCTGGGTTTCCTGAGGGATAACTAGTGGGGCAGAGCCTGAGCCATCCAGGCCCACGAAGGGCCTCCTGGCCTGGTGCAACCTGCGATGGGTGATGAGGTGTGAGCTCTGGCTGAAGCCCTTGCCGCAGTCGGGGCACTGGTAAGGGCGCTCGCCTGTGTGGACACGCTGATGCTTGTTAAGGTCGGAGCGGCGGCTGAAGCCACGCTGGCATTCAGAACAGGTGTAGGGGCGCTCACCTGTGTGGGTCCGCCCATGAGCCATCAGGGCTGAGTGGCTGGGGAAGCTCTTTGGGCAGTCAGAGCAGAGGTGGGGCCGGCAGGTAGCGTGGCGCCGACGGTGCATGAGCAGCTGGGCACCTGTGCCAAAAGCTTCCCCACAGTCGGGGCAGGTGTGGGGCCTGTCCTCGGTGTGGACACGCTGGTGGGCGACAAGGTTGGACTGCTGGCTGAAGCGACGCCCGCACTCAGGGCACCCATAGGGGCGTTCCCCGGTGTGGGTGCGGCGATGGGCGGCCAGGTTGGAGCTGGTGCTGAAGCGTTTGCCGCAAGCCGGGCAGGCGTAGGGTCTCTCCCCAGTGTGGACGCGCCGGTGGGCAGCCAGGTTGGAGCTCTGGCTGAAGCCCTTCCCACAGTGGGCACACTTGTAGGGCTTCTCCCCCGTGTGGGTGCGCCAGTGCTTGATGAGCACTGAGCCCTCGCTGAAACCCCGGCCGCAGTCGGGGCAGCGGTAGGCACGCTCGCCAGTATGGGTGCGCCGGTGCACAATCAGGGCTGAGCTGGTGTTGAAGCTCTTGCTGCAGCTAGAACACTTGTAGGGGCGCTCGCCCGTGTGCAGCCGCTGGTGCGTTAGCAGGTTGGAGCTCTGGGAGAAGCTCCGTCCACACACGCTGCACTTGTAGGGCCTCTCAGCTGGGACAGCACTGTCATCCCGGGCTCTTTCTCCACAGAGGGAACTGGGTTCGTCCTCTGGTCTCCCTGGACGTTGCCTCTCGGCCCTGCCCCAACTCTCACCAGCTTCTTCCTCCTCAGGTCTTCCCGAGACCATTGCAGGTGGGTCTGCTCTCTCAAGACCTTCCTGATGGGAGGCTACCTCCTCACCCTCACTCTTGATCCCATCAGCTGCTGGTGGGGAAAAAGACAGAGTGAGAGAGAGGAAAAACCCAAACAGAGATCATTCCCTGTGCCGGGAAGAAAGGAGACCTCAGAAACGTCAGGGGGAGGACTAGGCTAAGCTGACACCCAGGAGCTGAATCCTGAAAACAACACAGGCTATTGAGCAGGCTGGAGGAACCCACTGGGGGCAGTTCTGTCACTGCTCTTACACAGGAGGTCATACTAGCTGATCAGAACAGGCCATTCTGGACTCAAAACCTGAAGGGAGGGTGGAAATCTTTAGAAGGAGGAGGGGTCAGTGCTAGGCATATCTACATTGTGGGGCTGCTGCCACCATAGCCACAGCAGCAGAGCAAAAGGGGTTTTTCTGCTAGCTTAGCTACTCTGCCTCCAAAACGACACAAACTAAGCTGGCAGAAGCCTTCTTCTGCCAGCAAGCTTCACACCCTGCTGCCTTGATGTAGTTCTGCTGGTAGATCTCTGTGGCTAGGGCATGCGATCCCTTCTCTAACTGAGAAAATGGCTACATTTATTTTAAGGAGGGTAAAAAAAAAGATCAAGCAAAATAAGAAATTAATCACAGCTAAACATTTTTCTAAAGTGAAATCAAGTCTTATTTTTTTTACTAAAAACCTCCAAAAGACTGTTTCAGGTCAATCCAAAGACTTTTTTTCCCCTTTGGTTCTACCACTGAAAGCCCCCATCAATTATAAGAGAATCCAGGTTGTTCTTGGGGTTAGGTTTCCTAGCCTTCCAAAAGATCAGAGTTTGCAAGCCAGATGTGGGTCATACATAGCTGCAGGAAACAGATACCTGTAACCAATGGGCATGCTAGCGGATTGCTGTGGCTTTTATTTGGAAGGGCATCCTTCCTCCATCAGCTCTGTGGGACTTTTTAGGAGCTCAAGCTGACTGGAATAGTGGTGCCCTTGGAAGTAAATGCCACACCAGACAGCTGTGCCACCCACTTGTCTCCTGCAATGTGCTGCAAATTAAATCGATTGTGAACACCTACATAGGATCAATCTGGATTGTACAGTATTTCTACAGTTCTGTTTAAGTTTCACTCCTCTTCAGCATTTGATCTAATATCGAGCAGGGTAGGGAACTCGCCAGTCACTAGCCAGGGAGGATGGCTTTGCTGTGGGAGAACACTGCTTCTGCAACCCAGTGAATGAAAAGTGAGGTTTCCCAAATGCTTCGGGCAGAGAAGGTGGAGGCTTCATTCCCCATCCACTCCTTTACTTTAACCCTTGTCCTTCCTTATGTTGGACAGGCAAAGTACATGGATGTCATTACTGTATTAAGAAGGATAGTACCTATACCTGCCAGCCCAGTTCCCCCACAGGTGTATACACTAACCTTTATATTACAAAGGCTTAAAATAAGAGTTTTCTAAAGGAACTAGTTTTGAGGTTTTTTGGTGCTTAACCTGAGACAGCTTAAACTCCTGATTTTCAAAAGGCACATGCTCAGTGCTTTTGAACAATAAGGACCCTCTGTCTCCAGGTGCATGCTCAGGGGAAAACACACATATACACATCAGCCTGTGCATATGTGTGTGTATACATCTTGGCTCATTGGAGGACCTGGTAACCTGTTATGTTCACATCAACTCCTGCAACGTTACCTCCAGTCTCATGATATCTGAGGTTTCTTGCCAGCTCCTGGATTCACCAGTTTGATTTAAACAAAGTACGTTTTAGCCCTCACGGCCGCAGAGGAAAGCTTGGAAGCGTGTTTGCTGCATACTCCCAAGGCAGGAGGCAAAAAAGGAGAGCCTCAACCTTCACTACTCATGAGCTCTTGGGGTTGAGTTGCCAATGGTCCTATGTCCCAGTTCCTTAAAAGGTCACCTTTGCTTACTAAGCAGGAGTTAGGCTGCAATATGCTAGCAGCTGAGCTGTAGTACCGTGGGGCTGCCTGAGCCGGGCTGTCCGTTACGCCAACTCTTACCTGGATCCATGTCAAGGGCCCCTGTACACAAGCCCTGCCAGGTAAATGGGGGGCTCCCCAGCCAACCAGAGATGCTTCACCGAGACACCAGGACAGCAGATCTTGCATCCCTGTCTGTCGCCTTTTGTGTCTCCACTGCAGGGGCATTGTGGGACATGTAGTCTGCATTGCAAAGTGCACTGGGAGGAGTAGTTTACATTGCAGCAAGCAGAAGGAAAAATGTGTTTTCCCATGCCTTGCATTTTAGGAGACAACCCCTCACTTGCAAAAGATTGTATGGAATGTAGTCTGTTGCCAGGCACTATGGGAAAATATGTTGGCACTGCAGAGCATTATGGGAAACATAGTCCCATCTGTACAGCCCTAGAAGCAGAGTTTGGGAAAAAAGGGAGCACATGGGCTCCTGGATAGTAGGGGGAGTTTGTCTCCTCTTTCACCCACCTGCTTTGCAGAGGTTTCTTTCTGAGGAGGGTTGAGCTGGTGGGGAGGTTCTTTATTTTCATATTTTCCAGGTTTCCTCTGCAACAGAGAGCTAACCATCTTGACACTTTTTTTTCTGTACATTGGCAAAATGTTGTCATAAACACCCCTGTGGACACACTTGTTCTGCTATCAGAAGAGCAGGCTTTGGAATCAGTAATCACTATAAGCCGCATCAAATTAACAGCCTTCCCTAGGAAACCTATTCTAGGAGACTGTCAGAGTCCAGTGCTGCGATTCGTAACCAGGGTGCTGCAGCACCCTCGGATGCCTTGAGATCCTTTCGGAGGTGCTGCGGGGTGCCACACAACGCTAGCACTGGTAGGTGCACAAACAGGATTCATAAGATAAACCCAAAGATTTCAAATAAGAAGCCGTAGTGTGGTCTCAAATACATTCTGACCTGCTGTGGGTCTGTTTCTGAGTTCTTTGCAACCGAAAAATGGATCTTTGATGTTTCTTCAGTCAAAAAAGGAACGAGGACCGAAAGCTGACATTTTCTGAGGGGTGCCTGGAGTCCAACAAGGGGTTGCTTGAGTCTAATGAAGTTGAGAACCACTGGTCTGGTGAAACTGTATTGTTTAAATCAGGGGTGGGCAATTATTTCGGACAGAGGGCTGCTTACTGAGTTTGGCAAGCCGTTGGGGGCCACATGACAGGCAGCCAGGGGCAGATAAATATTAATTTTCTAAATTTTTTAGGGACCCTGCAGGCCGGATAGAATGGCCTGGTGGGCCACATTCAGCCCACGGGCTGCATTTGCCCACCCCTGGTTTAAATGTACACCTTGGGTTGTCGTTTCCATGGCAAAATAAAATTAAGTAAGCAAGCATACATCCCCTCCCCCTTCCCCCCATACACGCATAAATGTGTACAGGCATACTTCCCTTTGTGGAAGCTTTCCCTTTATAAAATGAAAACTAAGAATAAGATATCATTACATAAGCCTACGAGCTTCAGTCATATCAAATATCACTTGGTTTACAATGAAATGGAAATATTTGGAGCTACTCTCCCCTGCATTTTGGTATGTTTCTCTAAGCTTTATTTTCACTTAATCTTTGCAATGTTCTCCCCTGCCTTACCATGAACACTTTTGGTAAATTGAATTTAGGTCTCTACACAAGAAACTTGCACCTGATCATTCCAAGGTTTAGCCCAAGGTGAGTTACACTGGTGCAACCCCCTGGATGATTGCAATTTTGGATTTAGGAACTTCACCTCTGTTTTTGGCACCTACCTCCCACCTTTTTTTTTTTTTTTGTATCTGGCCTCTCATCCACCAAGCTTGGGGTTGGGCTGTCCTACCATCCCCACGCAGCTTTGATGGGGAACAGAGCAGTAAAATAGCTGCCTTCCAAGCACTTGACCTGAGTTCATTTCTTGGCCGGCACACAACGGCTGTCTCCTATGGTTGCTTTTGTGGATCATGTAGTGCAGTCAAACTCAGCGTAGTAGAGAATTCACTTCCTAGCTCTGCCAGAGACTCCTTGAGTGACCTTGGGCAACTCACTTAACTTCTTTTCACCTTGCTTCTCCCAGCTTTCACATGGTGGCATTGCTATACCCATCTGTTACAAAGGGGAAATACATTTACTAATGGCCATAAGGGACTCCGATTTGATAGTGACTGGGACCATAAACATACAGAGGAGTGATAGGTTAATTGATTCTGACTATATTGATGGAAGCAATAAACATTCCAAGAAATATGTCTCTTCATCTCCAAGTTACCCAAAGAGGCATCACTTCCAGGCTCATAGCTATTTGATGATATAATTCAGAACAATACAATGGAATGGGAATAACAATACACAGAGACATTATACCAGCAGCAGCAAGAACTCACCTCCATCACCTCGACAGACAAAATATAAGGGCTTCTACCAGCCACTCTCCCTTCAGACAGCTCAGCACAGTATGTCTGCAGGAGCCCGTAGCAACCCGAGTTAGCTAAATTGACTTAATGTTGACCCCAGGGCTAATTTGGAGCTGCTTTTCTACACTGGTATTACTGTAGACTTGCACAGACATAAGTTGCATCATAATAGCTTGTACAGGTATGCTTTCTTAGTGATACAGTTGTTTTATCCGTCTATATCCTGGGTTTGGTTTAAGGAAAGCAGAACGTTTCACTGGTTTCAGTTCTGAATCCAGGGTTTTCTTCTGGAAAAAGCAGCAGACAGATAGACTGCCCAAGAATCAAACTCTTCAAAGCCCATTGCTGCTCAGGCCTTGTGTCTGGCACTGAGAAGCAAATACCCCCAAGACATTGCAATTACTAGCTGGAATGAGACAATGCTGACATTTTCTTGTACAGTGATTGGAGCAGGAGCATAGCTAATGCATGGGCATGGGGGAGTTCTGTTTTCTGAGACAGAGTGATCCTAAACTGCTAAGAAGCAGCTCTCAGATTTTGCTTCAACTAATGTTTTATTTTCCTGCCTTCACCCTTGGGGCCTTTGCTTTGGAAACATCTAGTGCAGAAATGCTCATTTAAAACTGCATAGTGATGAAAGCTGGCCAGGAAATTACTCTGCCTACTGCGTATATAGTCTGCAGCACAAAAGAAGCCTCAGGAAAGTACTGACTGTCCATGTATCACGGAGGAATTTTAGCCAATGTAAAACCTGTGACAACAGCCTGGGTGAAATTATCTCCTGGTGTATTTTTATCTTTTCTGTGGTTAATTTTCTCCCACAACAAAGTTACTGTTTGAAACAGTACTTTGTTTTCCCCAGATCTGCCATTTTTTGTGTGTGATGGCCATTATTTTAGCTGTACAAACAGTATGGAGATGTGCCTATTGTCCCTGGAAGGAGGTGCAGCCTTCAGGGGGCTACAGATAGGCAGCAGTTAATAGATTACCAGGCTGGCAGCCTGGAGGCCAGCTGCAACTGGCCAGTATTGAATGAAGGTGGATCCACTAAAAGAGGGTTAAAAGCTGCAGGAGGAGAGTATCAGGAGGAAGAAGCACAGAGCCTGGGTTGCATTTCTCGGGGACTGACCACAGCTTTTACTTTTGCTTTACACATTTGCTTATTATGCTGTTTGGTTTGTTTGCTGAGGTCCGTGCCTGCAGTGTTGCTTTTGACTGATAAAAGCTATTTTTATTTAAAAAGAGCTGCCTGCTTCACTCCATGGGACTTTTTCGGTACTCTGTCCTTTCGTAGAAGTTAGCTCCCTGTCCTGGAGCTAAGGCATAAAATAGCATTTTGAGGTGAGGGTCAGGAGGGTCAGGGACTGTAATGGCTTCTAGTCCAAGGAGCTAGGACAGCGATGCTCAACCAGGTGCCATGAGATCTGTTTAAGAGTATTGCACAATATTAGCACTATTAGGTGTGAAAACACTGATATGTGATTAACATGATAAACACAGAGACTTTTAAAATTGGAAACCATGACATCAACAGCATTCTGACCTGCTGTGGTCTTTACAATTTCTTTGCAAGAGACAAATTGCTTCAGTATTTTTCTGCCATCATAAAACAAGTGAAACCTAAGAGCTGGCACATTCTGAAAGATGCCTTGAGTCTAAAAGGGCTTCAAACCCCTAAGCTAGGGACTCATCCTCTCTAGAAGCTGGGACCAGGTGCATGACTGAGGAGGGATGACCGGGCAACTGCCCCAGGCAGGTATGTGGTGGCAGTGATGGGAGGTTCAGATTATCAGCCCCAGCTGTTCCTGCCCTGTGCACATCCACTGCCCCAGCTGCACAGCTGCCCTATTACACCCCTTGGGGTGTGTGGTGGCCAGAACCAGAGGGGTTACTATCATGAGCAATAAATATATGCTCTTGGAGACATTCAGGCAATTGTCTACGCAGTTAAGATTAGCTAATGCAAAGCTTGCAAGTTTGCAACCCACAAGTGGAATTTGTCTGTCACAATTTAACCAAAGTGTTGAATCTAACTGTTTGCACTGATCATGGGACCAGTGAGCCCCAAAAATAAGCAGAGCTACAAGATTAGCTGATCTAACAGGTTTTTTAAAGGTCAAGCCATAACAAGATCTGACCACCTAATATAATTAGCACATTCCAAGGAATCCAGGAATAAGAAACTAAGGGCAGAGTAATGCTAATTTCAAACCTCAAAGTAATGTGGTGTAATTTGCTTATTGGGTGAACCCAAGTTCAGGTGGTAACCTTTCATGATAATTTCTAACACCTTTTGATTCCCCAGCCAATCAAGGAGGGAGTTGGAAATCTTATCCCCTTCCCACAGGCTCCCCCTCCATCCCTGTTGTTTGTCCCTTTCTGTCGCTGTGTGGCTCTCCCTGATGTCTAAGGGGGCAGCATAGGCTCCAAACTTAGCTCCCCTGTCTTTGAAATGTTTTGGTTTTCTTCTGATTTTCAATGAAAAGAAGCAGCTGCTTAGACCTAGGGGGACAACAGTACTTTATTGCTTAGAAAGTGCCACCTGGCAGAAATGGAGGTGCCCAAGGGAATTAGACATGGATGGTATGAGATGGTAGTTGACCAATGGCTTTGAAAATGCTTGAATGTTGTACTAACCCACTTGAAAAGGCCATTAAGATCCAGGTCCTTAATGTGACTTAGGCGCCTAACACCCACATTGAAATCAAAATGGATTAGG